GGGGCCAGCAGTAGGGGGCGGGGCCAGCAGTCGGAGGCGCCCCGCGCCCCCCACCCCCATGTCCCCGTCGCCCCATCTCCCCGTCGTCCGCCAACCTCGCTGATTTCCCCAGCGCGCACTTGTCCGCACCGGCTCCGACGGTGACGTCATCCTGCCCGCAGGGCGCTTTGTGCCACTGTGGCCAACGACGGTGACGTCAGAAGCCCGATGACGTCACGGAAGCCTGGGGCTGCCGCTTGAACCCACTGTCCAGCTTTTGTCATAAACATACTCCTCCATTGCCGGAGATGTACACTTTTCAAATAACTTTCCAGCTATTTCACTAAAATGTTCTAAATGTCACGTAGCCGAGAGGACATTAAACCCCTGCCTTGGAGGAGATGCTGATATAGTTGGAGAAATGGACATAGACATATAATGCAAAGTCAACTGAGGGTTATGGGCTGAGTGCTGAGTGATTGGTTTGGGCGGGAAGAGGAGAGCAGGGCAGGGCTGGGATGGTCACGGTGGAGCATGGCTGGGGGTGGGAGGAGGGGGTTGGGGACAAGAGAGCCTGGGATGGGCCAGCTCAGGCCTCATCAGTGTCCACCTGGCCACTGCATTTCCCATTCACTTTCAAGGCCCTTTTCCTGCAGACGGTGAGCCCGTGCAGGACAGGGGCGAGCCGCTCCTTCGTCTTCCATCAGCCCTCCAACCCAGCTGCAGGGCCTGGGCCTGGAGATTGGGGTGCGCTGTTTTGGCGACCTCTTGCTTTTCTTCCAGCTGACCTTTCCTCCTTGGAGCTTCCTTTAACCTCTCAGGACAGAAAGGCAGGGCCAGCTGGAGGAATCTGCCAAGCAAGCAAGGAATCTCACCCCCGGGAGGTCGCCTCTCCTGTACCCTCCTGTGGGTTTTGTGTGCCTCCCTGTCGGGGGCGCAGTGGCTTGATAGTATGGACAAAACACTGGACTTAGAGCCAGACGTCTGGCCACTGCTGGCTGGCTTGCTCTGTGTGCCTGGGTAAGCGTGGGCCTCAGTTTCCTCATCTGTGGAGTAGGGTCATAACAACTCTCCTTTTACAAGGTTGTTGGGAATCTGGGAGGAGCTGTGTGGACTGCCCAGCGCTGGGCATCGTCACCAGGCAGCCCACCAACCCCATGAATGTGCCTATAGGGCTGCCTTAGAACGAGACTAATTCCAGCCACGCCAGATAGGCCTCCCCGGCCCCTCTCACATACTAATACTGACTGCACATTCCCTCGAGGTAGGGCCCTGTGTTAGACCTGTGGGCCCGTGATTTTTTGAGGCCCTTTCCAAGATTTCCCACCTCCCAAACAGCTGAACTCATGGCGCTGAGTATCAGGACCCCAGGACTGTAGAGCAACTTGTCAACTGTATTTGCGCTCTGTGTGTGTGTGTGTGTGTGTGTGTTTATCTCATGGCGCTGAGTATCAGGACCCCAGGACTGTAGAGCAACTTGTCAACTGTATTTGCGCTGTCTCTGTGTGTGTGTGTGTGTGTGTGTGTGTGTGTGTGTTTATTCCCTCAGTTTTCCCATCTGTGAAGTGGGGGCAGCGTCAAGGTCTGCTCCCTGACGCCTCTCTGCCTCCCGGGGATGATTTGAGACAGAGTGAGGTCATGTCTGGGCAGGGCTCTGAGAGCTTCAGAGGCAGCCTAAGGTAAACAGCAGAAGCCTAACTGCCTGGAAGAACGCAGACGGTGACCCCCCGCGGCTCCCCGTGTCTGTCCTGGTGGGAGAGTGCTCCTCTGCAGCTGAGTGGGCCCCATCACCCCTGGGTGTTGCTTCATGGTGTAAGTGAGGCGACCGAACACCAAAAAGCCCCTTGTAAACCGAAGGAGACTCATTGCAAGAGCTCTCGAGGGGGTGTGCCTAGCCCTTCCCAGAGTGAGTGCCGGGAGATGACAGAGGTCGACTTTCTTTGTCAAGGCCATGGAGGAAGAGCACAGCAGAGGGACCCTAAGACAGAGGTGGATACCGAGGGAGGGAGGGAGGCTGAGGCAGACACCACCAAGGCCTCCCTGAAGTCTGACCTGTGTCATCCACTCCCAGAGATGGAAGGACACAGCTGGTGGGGGGACGGGAGGGGCCTGGGCCAACCATGTCAGGGCATGTGCGTGTGAGCATGTGGGTGGGAAGGCCTGGGGTGGGCAGCCTCGGGGACCAGGACGGGCAAGCATGGGGGCAAGGGTGTCTGTGATGCCAGAGTCATTTACACAGCAGCAGACCCTGTCTCTTGACAAAGCAGAAAGGGTGAGGAGGACGACGTAGGCCCAGCTGCAGAGGGAAGAGGAGGTCGGGCTGCAGGCGGGGCTCTGCCACTAGCACCCAGAGTAGCCCTGGGGAGGCTGCATTTACCCCCTAGGCCATCTGTCAAATATGGGCACTGTCGGATCCTGAACAGAAAAAGAAAAAACTGGTGAAATCCCAATGAAGCCTGTTGCTTCTTTAATAGGGCTACATCTGTGTGAATTTCTTAGTTTTGATAAAGGTACCGTGGTTACGTGAGATGCTCACATTCGGGGAAGCTGGTTGGATAGCTGAGTGGATAATTGGGAACTTTCTGTGCAGTCTTTGTGACTCAGCTGGACATCTAAAATGATTTCAAAACAAAAAGTCTGGGAATTTTATCAGAAAACAGGGAAAGAAATCATCAGACGCACACACCCCGGGCTCACGTCCAGCTCTGTGGGTTGTGCATCTGCGATATCTGGGCCAGACAGAGGGGCTGGAGGCAGAAGAAGACCCTGGGAGAAGCAGAGACCCGGGGGCCCCCATGAGGAATGGCACCACCGAGCTCCCCAAGCTGAGACTCAGAATCAGTTGCTACCTGGACTGTCTTCATTCCCAAATCCAGTCCTGAAACAAATAACATGGACCCACCTGCTGTTTACAAAGAATCAGACCAAATATGTCCTCAAGGGCGCCGTGACCCACCATGGGAAGGGGTGGTGGGCACAGAGAGGAGATGAGGTCTTATGAGGATGGGAGAGGCCCAGTGACTGGGCCATCCCTACCTCTAATGGGCAAAGTTCAGAGCATCCTCTTCCCACAGGAAGGACCCTGTATTTGGGTTCTAAGGTGACATCAGGACACAGCTATAGAAGGCAAAATATAGTAGAAATAGGTCATTCAGTGCTACTTGGAACATTATCAGCTATAAAGTGCATACATTGGAAGGAGGAGGACAAGCCATCTTTAAACTCCATTAAGAGCTGAGACTAGAACGTGAATGAGGTGGCTTGAATCAGAACACTTGGTTCAAATCCCAGTCCTGCCACTAATTTGCTGTGTGACCTTGGGTAATTAACCCCCACCTGCCTGATGCTGCTTCTGTAAAGGGGAAGTAAATCTATCTACATCAAAATAGCAAATAAGGGATTATGTGAGATCATTTAAGTAGAAAGGATTAAATGAGGTAAATTAAATGAAAACGGTAACACAGTAAAATATAGGAGTTCTCTAATTTTTTTTCTTTTTTTTCTTTTCTAAATCTCATGCAAAAGTGAAAAAAACTGAGCTCTCCAAACAATGAAGAAACCTAAAAAAAAATCTTTTAAAATGAAGGATGGTTATGTAAATCATGGCAAAGCCTCTTAATGGAATATAAGCAGCCATTTAAAACGAAGGTTAGGTAGCGTAATAATCATATACAGTGTATATTGACAAAATAAAAAAAAAAAATAAATAAAAAATAAAAAAAAATAAAAAAAAATAAAAAAATAAAACGAAGGTTAGGTAGCAACATAGACAGTGATGACAATACAGTGTTAAAAGAAAGAAACCAAGTCCCAAACACGCCAATCCGACCACGAGCACAACAAATCCTTGGAGAAAGGACTAGAAGGAAATACACCAAAATACTAATAGTGGTTGGGTTGGGGCTGAGTAGAGATGGGCTTGTAAGTGACTTTCTTATTTTCTGAATGTTCTGAAAGTATATTACCTTTATAATAAAAAAAAACTTTATTTAATTAAAAAAAAAAACATTCTCCGAACCACAGCAGAACAATTAGGTATGACAACAGTTGGCGCAGTTGAGGGCTGAGATACACAAAGGAAGGGGTCCGGGGCAGAGCCACACCAGAAGTGCCGTGGGGACGGGGCGGGGAGGACAAGGGGTCAGCTGTCTGAGGCAGTGAAGCTCAGTCCCCAGCAAGTGGCTGGGCCTGGGGCTGGCCCTGGACACCAAGGGCAGACGGACTGGGCAAGGGCTCTCCTGTGCCACACTCCTGGATTTCCAGGTCAGGGCAGGCAAGACAGATGAGGCAGCCTGGAGTTTGCTGGGAGGGGTGGGGCTCCAGAATCTCTAGGTGCGTGCCACATGGGGAGGCCACCTCCCTGCCATGCCCAGGATGCTGCCTTCCTGCTGTCGTAGATGCTGAGCATCTTTGGGGGCTGCAGGCTCCCTCTGCTCCCCGGTGGGAGGCAGAGACCCAGGCCCCCAGCAGAAGAACAGGCAGTGATGTTTGAGCTCCCTGTCGCCTGGTCCGAGCCTGCCTGCCCTGCTTCATTTGCCTCTGCTACAGAGCAGATTTCTGTGTCTCTCCTCCCTCCCCAGACCATGTGGCCTGCAGGAGCAAGGCCACCACATTGGCAGCAGTCACAAAACAACAGACTTTAATGGAAATCACAAAGGAGGGAGTGGGGAGGAGGGGGCAGGAGCAGGGTGGCATCACCCGTGCCTTCCCTCCAGCCAAGCCTGGCAGTCCCTGATGCCATCCCCTCCCCACGCTTCACAGCTCTTCCTGCAGGAGAGCAGAACTTCCATGGCCCCTTGTCCAGCGTGCCTGCAGTGTGAAGGGTTGCCCAGGGGCCCGGTGAGGATGCAGGTGGTATAAGCAGAGCTTGGGGCACAGGTGGGACCGTAGAGGAAGAGGTGTTGCTTAAGCCAGAATCATTCCCAGGGTCCCCCAAGGAAGGGCTATTTGTCTCCTGGGTTGGGGGGTGGGGGCTGGAGGGAGTCAGTCACCCCCAATGTGGGCTTGGTACCATGCAGAGGGGCACAGGGGTGGAGCAGGTGCCAGCCTGCAAAAGGCAGGTGTGAGCTTTGGTAGCACTGTGGTTATTGGCTTTAGGGCCCAGGGCAGGGGCAAGTAATGGGGTCCCCTACTTGTGCCCAGAGTGGTGCTTGTGGGATTGATCAAAAGTCCCCAAGTTCCCCAGCGTCATTCCCTGCTGAAGCTCTGCCTGGGCTGAGCACCTGCCCTCCACCCCTATCCCAGACACCTGGGTTTCCCCTATTTAACCTCCTGTAACGTCCCCACTGCTGCCTTCACTGCTTGGAACACAGCCCAGTCCATCTAGGAAAAAGAGAAAAGACAAAGAATTTTCAGTCCCATTCCTGGACCCGCCAGACCCCCACCCCACTCAAGACAAGAACAGCCTTCCTCTGTGCAGACTGGCTGCCTGCTCAGCACTGGCTGTATCTGCTGTGTCCACCAAGCTGTGCCAGAAAGGGACTTGGGCAGCACGCCCAACCTGCTGGCCAGTGTCATACTCACCTGGGCATAAAGCAGGTGGTGGTCAGGGGGCAGGCTGGGCCCCTGGTGGCAGAGCTGAGCAGAGAGGGCAGAGGTCTCGGGGGATAGGAAGTGCTGAGTGACGCTGACTGTGCTTACCAGGCCCTGCACCTGCATCCGGGAGGACGTGGTCAGGAGGGTCAAAAGAGGCTCAAGATCACACCTCCTCCCCTGTCCTTCTGGTCCCTGAGGTCTACTTCCTCTAATGGCTGCCTAGCCCAGCTCTCGGAGAGCAGAGGCCCCGAATATGGCACCAGATACCCCAAAGGGCGTGGCCAAGACTGACCAGAGGAATTCCAGAGAGGACACCAAGTCCCTCCATGTTCACATGCAGAGGAGGCCAGGACTAGACCCGGATCTCTGGGGCAAGTCTCAGCTGGGCCTGATGACTTCAAGACCGCTCAGTCTCCTCTTCCCTCTAACAGGGCCTGGCTTCCTGCCCTGCCTAGCTCTCAAGGTATTGAGAGAATGTCTGTGACTGACATTCTGATCTTCACACAGCCCCCACACACTGGGGAAGCACCTGGTGGGGCGCCCCTGCAGGCACCAGTACAGCCTCTCCGGGGGCCTGCAGCAGGGTCCAGCAGCTCACGCCCCACTCCTCCCGCAGACGCCGCCGCAGCCCTGAGTCCAGATAGCAGCTTCCCGGGGTGCCAGGCTCCAGGGTGCCTGCACCAGCCGGGCACACCTCAAAGAAGAAAAGGGGAAATGAGGCAGGTGGGGAGAGGACAGGGCATGGACGTCCCAGAGGCCAGGGGTGCAGACAAGAGCTGAAGTGGTCGATTCTTAAGGGGCGGGCAGGGGAGGACACAGGGCTGGTGAGGGGCTGGGTCAACTGAGGTCGGCAGAACATTTGGCTGGAAAGCCCATAGAGGAAAGGATTAAGGGCTCTAAATCTGGGGGTCTGGAACCCTGCTTTTCCCAGGACTGGAAGACTTTAGTAGCCTCTGAGGCCCTGGCCCCAGCCCCTCTGCCCCCTCTCTCAATGGTACCCCTTTCTCTAAATCCCAAGATGTACTGCATAACCCCAAGTCATAAACCACCTACACCAGAAGTTCTCAATCTGGAGTCTTGTAAATGGCCTGAACTGTATGCTAAATTGTGGGTGAGCAGGTAATTGTATGTCCCTGGGGAGACAATCCAAAGCTTTCCTCGATTCTTCTAAGATCCTGGATCCAGAAAAGGCAAGGCCACAGAGAAGTTCTGCTTCCCAAGGCGGGAACAGGATTGCCTGTCCAGGCTGAGGCCTCTGAGCAGGCACAGCCATGGGGGCCTTCATCAGCCCAACCAGAGCAGGAGCTCCTTGGGCAGGCAGGGACTCGTGGAGGCCAGAGGAGGAGGTGCCCAGGGAACACCTGCAGAGGTGAACGCCAGCATCATGCTCCAACTGGCCACCAGCTACATCAACCCCCTTCAGCTAGGACCTCAGCCATTGGCCTGAGCTTAGGGCTACAAGACTGAGCCATGGCGGGAGGGGAAGGCTGGTGAACCAGGTTGGACGCTAGGGGAGCCCCAGCCAAGTGCCGAGATTCCTTTGCCCCTGGAAGTTCAAGTCCATCCTGGAGCTAGAGCAGAGTTTCCCAGGCCACCCAGTGAGACTATGCCCCTCAGGCCTTCCCCATGAATCATCCATCGGGTTGGGCCATACGGGACTGCCCACGGCCTGCCACACCCAGACAAGGCCATCTGTTTACAAAAGCGTGTTTCTGTCCTGCCTTCTGCTGTCCCCGCATCCGCATGTGCATCTACAGATGTGTGTGCATGTTGGCAGGCGGATGGGGGTGGACACCACGATGGCCTCTGCATGTCTGTGTGTGTCTGCCTTAGCAGCGGGTGGCACTTGGTGGAGCCTTCTCCCCAAGACAATCAGGGCTCAGCTGCACGTTGCAACCACTGGGCCTGCCCTAACTTTAACCTTGGCTGCTGTCTCCCCTGCTCCTCTAGAGCTTCCTGCCTCAGCACCCCCCCCACCTGGCCCAGTCTCTCCCTCCACCTGCCACCTCCCTCGGCTCCCTAACTTGCCAGCACCACCAAGAGCACGTCCTCCAGGAAGCCTGTCCTCATCAGATGTGGATATGGAAAGGGAGCAGCAGGGCGACTCCAAAGGGCTCCCGTTGGCCCTCTGCTGGCCCCCACCCAGAGCCCAGGGAGGGGAGGCTGCCTGCCCCCAGAAGAAGTGACCTGGGATCAGGACAGATACAAGCTCAGAGCCCAGCTCTACCACTGAGCTCTGTTTCCTCATCTGCAATATGGCGAAGTAGCAGCCCCAGCCCCACGGGGCACCTAAGGCCGGGGCACCTTAGGCCCTTAGCACGATGGGCAGCCGGGGCAGCTGTGGCTGTCATTGATCGTCAGGTTCAGACTCTCCTGCCACAAGCTGCTGCTCTTCCCAGGGGCCCCAGCATAGAACTCCAGGGCCCAGCCTGCCTTCTCTGGATCTGTGTGCATGAGTGAGGGAGCAGGTGGGGAGTAGCTCGCGTTGAGCGCGCACTCAGACGGGCCCTGGGCAGACAGGACAAGCAGCCGGGCTGGGCCGGGGGAGGGTTCCCGGCTCCCAACTCACCATCTGGAGAAAGCGGCGAATGCGCTGTGCGTCCTGGGCCCGGAACACGTGCCACACGGCGCTGACCTGGCTGCCTGGAGACCAGAGCCCCTCCCCATCCAGGCCTGAAAGGAAGTCTGAGGGAGAAAGGCCACTCAGGCAGGCCCAGGGCGGGCACAGACAGACAGCTGCCTCTGTAAGCTCTCCCCTCTCCTGTCTCCAGCTGAGGACCCACCTTTCTGTGCCCGGTGCCAGCCAGGCAGCGGTGCCTCCGCATGCACCAGGATGCTGACCGAGTCTGTCACCTCCACACACAGGTTCTTGGTCCCCAGTTGTCCACGGTGTGGGCTCACACCTGCATGGAGGTGGAGAAAGGACAGTTGAAAGTGGAATAAGACAAGTGCTTCAGGCCCCAGGACCTTGTCACAGATGCACATGTGCCCCGAGGTGACAGGTACAGGGTAGGGAGTAGGCAGGAGTGGAGAGACACTCACCATAGGCTGCCCAGAGCTGGGGCTCCAGTGGACGCAGGACAGGGCCCTGGGGGAGGTAGGAAGCCAGGTTGAGTTTGCCATGGTGGGCGCAGTACTCTGGGAGTGGCAGGCTGGCAGCCAGGTTCTCCACCCTGTGCGGGGAGGGGGCCAAGAGGGTCACATACACAGGTCCAACCCAGGCACAAGAGACCCCATCAAAGCCCCATGCCCCACTGCTGGAATAACTTCCAGAGGACAGGCATGAGGACACTGAGGGTCACAGGGTGGGACTGGGGGGGAAGGGGGAGGGAAGGGATGGACAAAGAGGTAGGGCTGGCCCTTGGCACCGTCCGCACCTGCTGGTGTCCTCATCCCCCAGAGCTCGGTGCAGCAGGAGGACAGAGCCCTCGTCTGACTTTGGGCGAACTAGGAGAAGACACAGAATGGTTATTGTCCCTGGGAGGAACTTCCTTGGCCCAGAAGCCCCTGCCCTGGGGTCAGCAATACGAGTCCAGTTTCTGCCTGGGCCCTGCCTCCAGCCATCCCCGAGGCATTCTGGGATTCCGCTGCCACCCGGTCCCGAGGGCTCAGGTTCCCAGAGCCCTCTACCCCACATCAGGCTACTTACTCTCAGGGTGGGAGAATCCCTCCCAGAAGGTGGTGCTGCCCAGGCTTGTGGGCTGGGGAGGCCCCAGGGGGGTCAGCGCGTGCACCTGGCCTCCGAGAGCCCCAAGGGCTTCTGTTCCCCACAGGCTGCCTCGTAGTGTCCTCTGAATCCCTGACACCAACACAGGCTGTAGTGGGGAAAGAAAGGAGGTCACAAGGTGCCCGCCATGGTCAGGCTGGGCTGTATTGTAGGGGTGCTGGGACAGAGTGGGGACCAAGCCCTGCTGCTCCTCTGAGCGACCAAGACTGCCTGGGCCCCGGGGAGAGGCAGCCGGGCCCGCACTGGCGAGAGGGGTAGGCCCAGGCCCTTGCGCAGGCCCGGCCCAGTCCGAAGCCCCGGCCCCAGGGCTTTCTCCTGGATCTTCCGTTCCACAACCTGAGCGATGATGCTGTCCAGGATGTTGGTGATGCGGTCATCCTGTGGGGAAGGAGGGATGGAGGGGCAGAGGGCTCAGGACCCGCCCGACCGTGCAGGGAGGGCCAGCCCAGCCTCCGGCCCCCCGGTTCCCAGCCCTCCCTCTGAGCCCTTGCTCACGCTGGGCAGGGCTGGGGCAGAGGGCTCAGGACCCGCCCGACCGTGCAGGGAGGGCCAGCCCAGCCTCCGGCCCCCTGGTTCCCAGCCCTCCCTCTGAGCCCTTGCTCACGCTGGGCAGGGCTGGAGTGACGGGGGCAAAGGCCATGTGTATCCGCTCATGCCCCAAGCAGAGTTTGACAGCAGTAGAGGCCAGCAGTTCGCAGAGAGAGGGGCAGGGCAAGGGCCCTCGGCTGGCACGATCCTCTGCTGGGGTCTCGGTGGAGTCCGGAGTCTCTGTCAGGGAGGAAAGTGGTGAGGGGCTTCAGGTCTTGCCCCTCACCTTTCTGTCCAGGCTTCTTGCCCACAACGCTCTGCCCTCACCTCCAGGCCATGGCTACTCTCTGCTCAAACCCTCACACCCCACCACCCCCTTTCCCGAAGGCAGCTCCAGAACCTCTAAAAAGGAGGAGCTCAGAACGGGGGTCTGGCTGGAGACGGGGTTAGGAGGCTGTCTGGAGAGCAATGATGGAGATTACTGGGTGGGGGCGGGGATGGGGGGTTGCTGAAGCAATTCCTAGCTGTTTCTGGAGACTTCCATTGCCCCCTCCTGCCTCAAACTCTGGCCCAGCCTCCCTCCTGCACAGTCGAGGGGCAAGAGGAGCTGCTCACCCTCTTTGATGTCCTTGGTCCTGGTGGTGTCCCCATTACAGGAAGGTTGTGGAGTTGGGGGAGTTTTCTCTGTCGCCTCCTTCTGTTAAACCCATCCACCACCCCCCAATCCAACCAGAAATTTAAAAAATGGCAGACACAACTCAACTCAACCCACAAGGGCTAACAATGGTCTCTTGCAAGTCCCAAAAGTGTGTTCACAGGAGCCAAATGTTATAGGAGAGAACGTTCAGTGGGAAAAAGTCATCACGGGCTCTGCCTAGGATATGGCCGGAAGTACGCTACAGCAGTCGTGGATAAACAGACAAATGACTGGAAAGAAATGTGTCAAAATGTTGATGGTGGCATCGAAGGCCGCTGTCGTTTTCTTCCTTATATTTGTCTATATCTTCCAAATTTTCTGCCACAGGTATGTAGCACAGTGTCTGGTACACAAAGTGCATTCAATGAACTATTTCTTGAATGTATGACTTTTCCAATAAAAACACAAACTTCCCCAAAACTGCGCAAAATGCATATGGAGCATATGCTATGTGTTGGGTGCCGGGAATACTGAGAAGGGGGGCCAATCTCCACTGGAAGGAGCCCAGGTCTGGGGACACAGCCACCAGACCAACAACAAGCTCCAGCATGACATGACAAGTGCTGAGCTAGAGGATGCCCGGTGGGCTGGCTGGTGAGCTCAGCTGGTTAGAGCACGGTGTTATAACACCAAAGTCAACGGTTCAGATCCCAGTACAGGCCAGCTGACCCTTCCCCCACAAAAAAAGAAGATGCATAGTGGCCTAGGACTCTGGGTAGCAGGGATCAAGGACTTTCAAAGGATGGGGGAGGGGTCCTGATCCCCCCCAGGGGAACGTGGCACGTTGCCTGATTTCACCAGCTCCTATGTCCCTCTTCATCCCCATCAAAAGAAGAGGGTCAAACCTCACAAAGGTCAGGCATTTGCTGGCACACTGTCCAATCCTGGGCCCCACCAGCTAGTTCTCTGTCACCGGTGCCATGCCCTGGTGCTTACCTGCTGGCTCCCATCCCCGGGAGCCCACACCCGGGCATCAGCTTGGCAGGGGCAGTGCCCCCGGATGTCAAACTTGACCCAGACCTGGTGCATTGCTGTGCTCAGTTCTGCCAAAGCTGGGGACGTGGAGAGGAGAGATGGAGTTTGGTGGTGATGCAGACCAGCAGGCAGCCCGTGAGCATCCTGGCTTTGCCAGCAAGGAGGGCGTGGCGTCAGGGTGAGTGACAACCAGACAGGAAGCTGGTCTCCCTCAGGACCCACCCTCGCATGCCCCACCCCTCTGAGATGGCTCACCCTGGCTGGAGACACACTGGATCAGTATCAGGGAGAAGGCAGTGTGCCCAGCCTCCTGGGTACACTCCTCTGTAGACTGCTCCTGAGAGCCTGTGGGGTGGGAAGGGAGAAGCTGCAGGTCCAGAAATCAGTAAAATGTGTGCTTTCTGGGGAACTTGGGTTACACGGTGACATAGCACTCTTGGCTTGCAGAATGCACAGGCTTTTTACTATTCTGAGATGTTTTGCAAGACCCCAAGGTAGTCAAGTAAGAAGAGAATGTTCCAAAACTAATCTAACCCTGGAACTCTTTTTGGCCATGTCTATTGGAACACCAGGAAATTTCAAGCCCTCAGGTGGCTCAGTTGATCTAAGTGGGAGAAAGCTGAGAACCATGAAAAGAATAGGATGGAATCAGAAGACCTGAGTCTAAATACTGGCCGCAACACTTACTAGCTGTGTGACCTTGGGCAAGTCACTTAACCTCTCTGAGTTTTTCCTATCTGGGAAACAGAGGCAGTAATACCCACTTCACAGTGGAACAACAAGTTTAAAAAGATGCAGGCTGAGCAAAGTGGGAGGCATAGAGTAGGCACTCGACTTCTTAAGGATGGGCAGGGACACAAGCGTGGCTCTCTGGTCTGGGGAGAGGGAACAGTCTGCTCTAAGGGGCATTGAGCAGGGCCAAGGCCAGGGCTGGACAGGGAGTGGGAAGGTTTCTGGGGACAGGCAGCCAAGGACTGGCCTCAGAGCCATCCTACCGAGGCCCCCACCCCTGCCCTCCTACCCCTCGCCACCCCCCTCCTCTCCTACCTGCCTTTTCCCTGGTCCTCCCAGCGCCAGCCATGCGACCACAGGCCACACACAGCCGGTGGCTGCAGTGGGGGCATCTCCAGTGGGTGTTGAAGAGTCCGTGGTGACAACGGCTACAGCAGCGTGGAATGCCTGGGTTGTCCTCTGTCACAGCTGGCCCCTGGCCCGCTGACCACAGGAGAGAACAGGGTCATAGGGCTGAAGGCCATGAGCCCCTTTGGGGGACCTGATGTGGGAAGTCTCCAGGCAGGGGTGGGGGAGAAGCAAGGAGCAGTTTCTATGGAAGGGCCATCAAGGGAGGGAGTCACCACTACTTATTCAACACCCCTGTCAAGAACCTGCCCACAGAAACCCTTCTCTCCAGCAAACACTTCTCAGGAACAGTGGAGGCTCAGCTTCCCCAGCCCCGTCCCAGGGATTTCCCCGCCACCCTGAAGGCTAATCCAAGCCACTTCCAACACCTTCCTTCATCCACCTGCCTTCCTCCGGAGCCCTCCGTGTTACCAGAAATGGAAACATATTGTAACCATGTTCAGGTGGCCTTTCCTGGTGGACACTGTGTATTACAAGAGGAAACCTTTAAGGGCCGCCCCTTCCTCTACTCAAAGGAGTGGAGTTTCTAAGAGCAAAGTGTCAGACTAAGCCATCACCGGTGGGTGGAAAAGGAGCCACTGAGCACACACTCAACAAACACCTTGTCATGTCCCATGTGGGGTGCACAAGACTCAGAGCTGGTCAGAACGCGGCCCTCGCCCTGCCAGTGCTGACACTGCTAATGGGGAGATGGACCCATGAACGCAGCAATGACTATGGCACCCCAAGGCAGGTGCCAGAGGATGACAGTGCATGGAAAGGTGAGGGTGGGGACAGACAGTGGGGAGCTTCCCAATAGGCCCTAAAGGATGAGTAAGTTTTCATTCACCAGGTGGAAGGGAGGAGCAGAGCATTCCAAACTCCAAACAGGGAACAGCCAGTGCCAAGACCCCAGGGGATGGACGAGTGCTGGAGACCGGGAAGGAAGGTTGGGGGCGTGTGTGCCGGGAATCTGGGCTGGGAGTGGCAGGAGCCCACACTGGGAGCCAAGGGGGCTGGCCTTTCTGGAGCACCAGGGAACCACCAGTGAGCTCCACTCAGGGAGGGACAGACAGACCCAGGGGGTTGTATTTACAAGGACCACCCTCGTGGTGCTGTGAAGGGCTGCTGGTGGCCGGGGGGCAGGGGGAGCCTGGAGCCAGAGGAACCAGCTGGATGCCCACCAGTCTCTGCCGCCAGCCCACACCCTGCCAGTCTCATAGGCACGTGAGCCTCACCACCCCAGGAAGCCTTTCCCGACCCTCAACCCCTCAAGAGCCCCCTCCCACCTCCCAGAGCTCTAGCAGATGCTTGGCACTCGGTCCTGTTTTCCCAACAAGCCACACGTGAGCCTCACCACCCCAGGAAGCCTTTCCCGACCCTCAACCCCTCAAGAGCCCCCTCCTACCTCCCAGAGCTCTAGCAGATGCTTGGCACTCGGTCCTGTTTTCCCAACAAGCCGTCCAGCTCCCAGAACTGGGCTGGACCAGATTTGACACCTTCCCAACATCCCCCACCCAGGCCAGAAGCTTCAGCATTGACTAGGCCTAAGTCAGGAATAAGGGCAAAGTAGGGCAGGCACTCTTCTGAGGTTGTGGCAGGCCTAGGAATGGAACTGGCAGTGTCTATGGGGATTGGGGAAGGGACAGCTGGGGGGCCCCACACTCTGCAGGCCCCACACAAGCCCCCAAGCTTTGCTTACCTTCCCGTTGTGCCCAGGCCAGGGCCTCCCGCTCCCTGCGCAGCAGGCGGCATAGTCGGTCTCCCAAACCACTTAGCAGATGTTTGGCGAGGCCCACGCTGAGCCGAGCCTCCGGGCCAGACCCTCCCCTCTCCTCGGAGCCAGTGGCCAAGTCTTCCTCCTGCTGCTGCTCCCCTCCCAGAGGCAATCTGGAGATAGGGCAGAGGAAGGTAAGGACAGAGCCCCGAGGGGGAGGAGGCTGGGGACATCCAGGGGCATCCAGGGGCAACAACTCACCTCCGCACTTGCTGGGAGTGGCAGGCCAGCCCTCCCACCTCTCCAGCTGCATGGGCACAGCTTTGGCACTGAGCGATGGCTGCTGGGACAGCCGGGCGAGACCTGTCCTGAAGCCCTGGGTCCTGGAGGCTGGCCCTGCCATCTCCGGGTCCTGAGGGGACAGTGCAGCTGGTCAGAAGCCGCGATTTCCTGGGCTCATGCAAACTCCAGCCCCTGCCTTAATGCCTACCCCGTCCACACATGGAGCCGGACCAGCCCTCGCCCCAGGCTATGAGGCCTAATTCAGAACTAGCAAGAGTAGATCAGGCAGCTAGAAGGTTCACACACGAGGCTGAGCAAGGAGCCTGAGAATGCACTGACATGGACTGACAGGCCGAAGGAAGGGGCTGTCCGGTGTGCTGGGCCCAAGGCTGCAGGCAGCTAGGGCAATCGTCCTGACACAGTGCAGGATCCACTGCACTGTGGATAGACTTGGATAGCTCCACTGAGGGCTTAGTGATATTGCTGGCTGCGTGACAACATGAGGAGGCAATCCCAACGTGGACGGAGGGCACCGGAAGGTGAGAAGGCCGGAGAGTTTCAGCACAGGCCACAGGTGCAGTAACCCAAGAAGGCGAGGGGGCTGACAACTTTCCAGCCCAGGCAGACTCCTGGGAGGGCGCAGACAGACCCGTGCCAGGTGCAGGGGTGTTTTGGCAAGGCTGCGGAGAGACTTCTGATCCAGGAGGCTGAGAAACTGAGGTGATCCTGAAGAACTGAGGCTGGGGCTAGTAGTGCCGGAACCCTCCGTGAAGGGCACAGTGTGGCAGAGGCATCCAGGATGTGCCCAAAGGCCTAACATTGGCAGAGTCCAAACTGTGTCTCCACGATCCAGCCGGCCAAGAGAGCAGCCGTTCCTGAGGCAGGACAAGGGGTCCTTCAGGAAAGGGGATCCTCAAGCGGGGATTTGTGGCATAAATAATCATAGCAGTAAATATTTACTGAGTGTTTACTAAGTGCCAGCAATTCTTCAGAGCCCTGCTGTGAATTATTATAGGATTTAATTGCTGCAGCAGTCTTCATAAGATAGGTGCCATCTTTATCCCCATTTTATAGATGAAGAAACTGAGGCCCAGAGAGATGAAGTGACTCACCCAAGGTCACACAGCTACCAATCACCAAGTCAGGAACCAGGCACTCTGACTCCAGAGCCCATGCTCTGAAACATGTCATTATACTGCCACCAACACACCATGGCTTGGGAGGAGACAGAGAAGCCACTTGCTGGAAGGCTCTGGCCTGTAGATGCTGAGGAACTCTCAGAGAGCCATCACCATCCAGGTGGGAAACCTGACAACTGGGCATGATCCACTCATAAAGGGCCTATGGATCCCAGCCCCCTGCAAAGCCCCAGACCTGGCCACCCCTCCCCAGCAGGGCCCTGCAGCCCACCTTGCCCCTTACCTCTCTGGTCACCATGCTGTTCTGCCTCTGCCTTGCTCCCTATCGATGCGTCCAGCACCTCCTGCCAAGCCCTGGCCCCATGCCCTGCAGTGCCTGGAAAAGGGTCAGGTGGGCGCTTTGGGGCTGGACTGCCCACTGCTCCCTGGACCTCAGGGCTGCCTGCCCTCTTGAGGGTCTGGAGCCGGGCAGCCGGGTTCTCCTCGTCCCCAGGGCAGCCGCTTGGACAGCCAAACTGCTCAGAGTGTCGCGTGAGCCACGTCTTCTTCAGCTTAGTATGGTAGCTGGGGGCGCAGACCCTGGGACCAGAGGGCCTGTTCGCTTCCTCACTGGATTCACCAGATCCACTGGGACCCCTCTCTAGGCCCTCCTGGCACTTCCCACAAGAGCCAAGACCCCCACCTCTAGCAGGTGGGTGAGATGTGCAACAGCCCCCCTGGGTGGTAGGAGGTGCTGGAGAGGGGCACCTTGGCGTGGCTGGTGGCCCCAGCTGGTACCCAAGGCTCCCACTGCCCGGTACAGCCCAGACGTTGCCAAGAGTATGAACCAGGCCTGGGGGACAAGCAGGCCAGGGGGCCCGGGAAACAGTATCTGGATGCCCCATGAGAAGTGGGCAAAGATTCTGCTGCCTGCCAGCTCCTGTCTCTCCATCCCTCTGGTGGAGTGAAGGGCGTTCCGTCTCCCCGGCTCTTTGCAGATGCCCACCAGGGGCTAAGCCCAACAATCCAGGTTCCGCAACTGCCAAGGGCTCCTTTCCCAGCCTGAGAATGCTCGGATCTTTGTGGTAAAAGCCCTAAAGAGAGGAGAAAGGATTAAGCTAGTGCTGAGTTTGGTTTCTGGTTGCTTAAAAGGATGGGCAGAACTGACTGCCATCGAGGGCTGGGAAAATACTAAAGAACTCACATAGCAGTTAATAAATGGCACTGCTCTGGGTCCCCAGAGTGCCTCCCCCACTGTCCTGGCTACCCCTAGATGCTCCCCCAGGGTTTCTCGGACTTCCCACAACCCAGCAAATAAAGGGTTAATGCCTGGCAGGGCCAAAGGGTATCCAGGATCTGTTTGGATTGTTGTGGTGCCCTGTACCACGCTGGTTTTTAAATGTTTTTAAAATCTCATCCCTGGCCTGGGGGAAACCCATTGGGGAGGTGCCCTAGACACAGGCCATGGAGTGGCCTGCACATCCCACTCCCTGATACAGGGGCCTTGCCTGCCCTCCCATACCCTCCCATAATAAGGTGACACATCCCAAGGCCAGAGTTCCCATGGCCTTGTCCTAGGTGGGCAGACAATGGGTGAGTCAGTCACTGTAGCGGCCTCAGGGCAGGGGGGTCTAGGGAGATGGAGTTGCTCAGAGGAGGGGTTGCTCTGGGCTGACTTTGGGGCCTGGGACAGATCTGAGCTGACAGGGTCCTCGATCTGGGTGCTGTCTCATCTTTCCATCAGAATGGGATGGCAGAGTTGTGCTGTCCCAGCAGGGCTGCTCGGGGACCACTGAGCTACCTGGCATGGCCTGAGCCCCAAGTACCCTCTCTGCTCCAGCACTCACCTTGCTGCCTAAGCTGAAGGCAGAGGGCACTTTGGGCTGGCCCCCGGAGTACACCCAGGGGTGCGGGGTCAAGGGCCAGTCACATGGACGCTCTGGGGGCAAGCTGGACACCAGGTAGGGTGGCAAGCAGGTGGGCACCCAGAAGGGAGCTCGCTCCAGGATCTTGGTCTCCAGAAGGAAAGGGCAGTGCAAAGGTCGGAAGGCCACAGGATCACTCTTGGGATGGCCACCACTATGCTCAGGAATCAGGGGGCCATAGCGAGGTGGGCACGCCGGCCCGCAGAATGCCAGAGGGTGGGTAAGCATCGCCTCCTTCCAGCGGAGTCCCTCTTTGCTGCCCAGCCAGTTGGCCCTCCTCTCCCCATTAAGGGGGACTTCACCCTCCACAAGTGGAAGTGTGTCCTTGGGGCCCTGGGGAAAGCCAGGGGGAAGCCAGGAGTCCGGGGTGCTCAGGACACCCCTCCAGAAGGGAGCAGGCTCTCCCAGGCACAGTGCCCCATGATGCAGCCCATCCCGAGGCGGAGTATCCGGCTCCTGTCCCACGATGCCATTCTCAGGGGCTGTCTTCTTCCAGGCTGGGGTCTCCTTCAGGAAGCTGGGCGTACTCTCCATCACTCTCCTGCCCTCATGGGGCTCTCCCAGAGGGGGTCCCTGGAGTATAACCACCAAAGCATGAGCTCCTTGGGCACATGCCCCAAGTGCTGGCACAGAGTGGGCACCGCCCTGGCAGCACCAAGGTGGCTCAAACCAGTAAGGCAAGTGCCAACCCACAGCTGGGCACCATGCTGCCTTCCCCCACATGGGGCCAGGACAATCCTGCCTGGGTGGGATGCTCCAGTGTGGGGAGCTTACCCCTTCCCCCAAATTCATGGGACTTGACAGCCCACCTGGGCCACACAGCCCCTCACCAGAGACTGCCATTTCTAGGATGACATGTTCTGGCCTCACCAAGACAGGAACCTGGTCATGAGCCATGGGGATGGGCAGGGAGCTCACCTCCAAAAGGTGAGCTCGGTGGAAGGCCCTGAACTGAGGAGACAAGAAGGCTGGATCCTGGCCCTGACTCAGTCATCTGCTGTATGACCTTGGACAAGTCATGTCACTTGTCTGGGCGTCAGTGTGCCCTTATATAAAATGGGGCTTGGATCTCAGAGGATTCTTCCTATGCTGCAGTCTGTGGTTTTGGGGGTGCGGCTTGCCACCCCAGCCCCAGCCAGGCTCCTAGGGGTAAGCAAGGCAGGCCAGGCAGGCTGGAGTCACTGGGGACGGTTGCCAGCCAGGGCAGCCGGCTGTCGTCTCTCCCTACACCTGGGCAGCCCCGAGTCTGCCTCTTCTCAGTACTCTACAGTTTCTTGGCTTCTCAAGCAGAGTCCCAGGACAACTGCTGGGACTTCTCAAGCAGAGTCCCAGGACAACCGCCCTGGCCCCCAAGTGAAGGAGTGAGCCAGCACAGGAGGGGGGGATTAGGAAGCTTCAGCTGGGGTGGGTCAATCTGCCTCAGCCCAGCCGGCAGTGCCAGGGCGGCCGGCCACCGCCACCGCCGGTAACTGCAGCCCTGCGGGGGGAGGGAAGGAGGCGGGGATAGCGGGCTGGGCCCCAGAGAGAGGCAAGGGAGGGAAAATTGAACGTGCGTGCAAGGGACCGGGATGACAGGTGGCACCAGAGCGGCAGCGCTCTCTTGGCGCGGTCCCCTCGGCCTGCCCCACGAAGCCCCGGGAGTGAGCCGTGGTAGAAGGCGCCCGGGTTTTCGGAGCCGCCGCTCCGCGCCCC